TGTGAGCTGCAGGAGTCAGATTTCACTGACCACGGGTTGAGAGGAGAGATGACTGACAGACCATGCTGGAGGATTTGCTGCTCAACAGATCCTGAGCTCATTGACAAATATCTGATCTTCCTTTACAGAGCATGATCGCGAAATCGAAAGTGAACAGCGAGCATTCATTCAAAAGAGATGTAAATACTCCGCGCATATTGAGAGCAGCTCCCTGATGCGCGAAAATTATATGCAATATTAGAAGAATGTTTGCGGAACTGGACACAAAAATCACGGGAGCGGGAGATAATGGTCAGAAATTCAGCGGGAGCGGGATTAAGAAAACAGTTCCTCGCAGGGCTCTAATACAAAAACGCACACAATGAATGGCAACTGTAGAAAGCAAAAGCCGAATCCCGGACATTTTGGGCAATTTAGAAATCCTGGCCGGAGGCATTTTTTTAGGTCCGAAAAGAGGACATGTCCAGGAAAAAGAGGACGTATGGTCACCCTAGTTAACATAAAGACATGACAAAGATTTTTGGAACACATCTTTAAGGTGTCTAGTATTAATATATGAATTCATAGAATAAACATGTTGACGACAACAATAGTGACCACTGGGATAATACAGTGTATTTAGTGCACAACATGCATTCAAATGCAGTTGTTAGTAAAGGTTGCACTAAAATGTCGCAATGACAAAGTTACATTGTCACATCACACTAAATTAAAAGTTCAAATGTTACAAATAAGTTACAATATTGATGTTTTAATACTGGTTGCACTAATATAAAAATGTTATATGTTACAATAGAGTAACATTTTGAAATACATAGATTTTTTTCCTTTTTTTTTCTTTCTCTGTATTCCTATCAGTGTTTAAAATGTGTTAATAACTGGACTGAGATATATACGAATTGATGACTGCAAAAACATTTTTAAATCCAGTATAACATTATCCCACCGGTCACAATTGTGACTGACCATAAAACACAATTTTTCACACACTTTTCCATAATTTAAAAAGATAATTGATTATTTCAAGTGGTTACTAATGACACATCATTTGGATATTTTCATGTCTAGGAAATATTTGGGATCAAATGGGTTAAGTGACTTAATGTTATTGTCTTCAATCACACCAAAATATGATGCATTACTTCTGTATGTATCAGACTGAATATGTATTTGTCATCATCAGTGATTTCAGCTGTTACAACATCTAAAATATGATAAATTATGAATTAAAGCGCACCTAAATAATGGTGCTGAGAAACTTTAATAACCTCTCAAATGAAAATGCACAGTTAAGAGTTAAAAATAAAGTTTTCTGTAGTCCCACTGCATGGGAACGGTTTAAAAACCAGGTTCCGTGTTTTGTGCTAATCCTCATTCTACCTGTTTACATTCTGTTTTACTTTACAGTGAGCTGCAATGGTGTATTCTTACTGGTTTTCCTAAATTATACACATAAACTGTTAAAAAAGTACATCTAAATGGTGGTAGTTAGTAGTTACTGTTTGGTTGGCTATTATCTGGTCCAAAGGCTGGTAAAAACGTGCTTGGCATTGCACAATAGCAGCTTTTATTAATTTTATTAAC